CCGTCGTGGGTGGGGGGGGGTTCGTCATTCGGATCCCCCTTTGTGACGTCGAATGTCAACATTTATTAGTTGTAAGGTCATACCCCCTTCTAGTCGACGGTAGCTATTTGACCATTCGGATACGCTTTCCAACCCACTCTACTTGTTTACGGTAATTCCGCTCATACACAATTTGGTTTGTTTCTATGTATCCACACACTCGTTATACGGAGACAGTAAAAGATTTTGTTTGTAAAGTCCCTGTTCCAATCCACTTACAAAGGAAGTTCAACTGCGATGAACGGGGGTGGGGTAGAAATAAAGACTAGAGAACCCACTTTCACTCACGTAAGAAATCATTGTGAGGACATGATGTTTCGGCCAAGTTGGATTGCGACCTTATACACACTCGATGGCAAATGGATTAGGTTCTGTTTGCGCGAGAGCGATTTGACAGGATGCCTGCGCCAATAGGTTCACCTAGCCGAGTTCGGTCGAGAAGCGGGACAGATCAATCCACCGCAGCAAGTGTACTTTGACAACCATAAACCTCGTAAGCTGGTTAGTCGTTGTCCTGTTCGCATGACCTGTCAGCGCGCAGTATGAAGGATTATTTTAAGTTGATGTATAATCGTATTTATACTCAATTACTTCAATTTGAAATTGTAGGTACTGAATTTGTAAATAGGTGACCGCTATTTTCGGGTGTATCGACGTGACGTTAACACATTATGTCGACCATTTTTTTTTCACAACTTACACTATGTATATGTACCAAATCACCTATAGTGCACGGGAACGCTTACCTGTCGCATACACTACGATGAATTATGTAACTGGCTCACAAAGAGTTGAATTACACAACGACATTAATCAACACTTACAATAACACACCATAAAAAAGAGGGATTGGGATATATATTTTTTTAAATCCTCTGGAGCAGAGAGAGGAGCTGTGGATTATTGTTATTGATTAATGCATCAGTGTTTCTAACGGCCCCTACACGCGGCGTGCGTTGCCCATTCACTTTGAATGGGGTGACGTCACGCTTTGCCGAATTGCATTGTGGGAGCATAGCTACGCTTTGCTCGAGATGCTCGCTTCAAAAGTAGAGCAATATTCTACTTTTGAAGCTTCAACGGAAGCGTCAGCCAATCGAATCATATGCCAGAACAAGCTCTCGCCAATCAAACCGCGTGCTTGCGTGTCCGGGGCGGGAGATTCATGTGATTGGTTGTTGGTCGAGCTTCAGACAAGCCCGCCGGCATGCTACAACGCACGCCGCCGTGTGTAGGGGCCGTGTGTGTAGGGGCCGTAAGGGTCAAAAACGCTAAACTCACAACTTAAAATGAAAGCGTTTAGTTTATTTAATAAAAGAGCACATGTCCAAATGTGAAAAGTGGCAGTAGAAATAGATTAGTTGCAATTTGGTGCTATATATATATTTAAAAAAATTAAAATAATAATAATAATTTATATATATATATTTTTTAAACACCTTGAATTTCAGGGAGGGCGCAGGGCTCCGTTGGCGGGGCACAGCGCCCTTCCAAGAAAATGGTAGGGGAAACACTGAGCTGATAAACGCACACTTCATGATAACCAGTAACCCAGCTACTTGTATTTGGATTTGTAATCTAACCTTTTTTCTCTTCTTTGGCTCAAATTTCTTTTGTTTTAGTTTTTTTGGGTTTGCTGCCCATTTGAGTATTAAACTCACTTTTCAAAAGCACAAAAGGCCTGTAGAAACACTCATAGATTCAAAGCTATTTGCATGTCTAGTATAAAATAAGACATTGACGTCATAACCTCAGACGGCTTTGAAACTGTTCTTGTGTTTACACAAAGGAAGACATTTTTTACAGGCTACTAAACACCTCAAATGTATGTACTGAAAATGCATCTATACATTTTACTTTGTAAACAGTTTATCTGTATTTATTTGGTTTGAATTTCCCTTGGTGGGATGTTTTTTGATCAAATGGATCAACTTAAAGTTATATTCAGGACATGTTGAAGAGGATAATTGCAATCGCATGAACACATTTTTCAAATAAAACGTAATCTCTATTAAACTGTGTAGTTTTTAAAAGATTATGTTTTCTTATTGTTATCACCAAAACTAAACAAAGAATACTAGAGTAGTTGAAAGAAAGATTATACTCTGTTGAAAGAAACAAAGCTTACCCTTTGCTGACCCTTGTTCCGATGTGAGGCTGGTGTTACATTGTACTGTCAGAACAATGGCTCTCTCTCTCACTCACTCTCACTCGCCCCGCTAACTGTCAGTGGACGGCTCAGTACTGGGCGCTCAGGATAACAGGGAAAGGAAGTCCTTATTTAGTTCTGTGTTTGTGGACGTTCCACAAATGCTGCAAAAGTGCTAGTCAAATAAGATTCAGTTTAACAGGAATAAACAGTGATCCCTATTTTAACCCCCATATGCTTAACCCCCTTTAGACGTGTTGGAGGCTGTGCTCTCTGATATTACACTTGTATGTTTGTGACGGCTTTTATCTGTGTGTGAGTAAGCAAAGTGTTGCCAGTGGCTTGGCATACATCATGGCGTATATGTTCTCCTAAAGTGGCGGCTGTGACTGGCCCTTTAACACAGCTGTAAGTCAGACTGCTGGAGGTTTGACTCTCAGGCACACACCACCATCACTGCCAACACACACCACCCAGCCCACTGCAGCACAGGCCACATAGCTCATGTACGACAGGAGCGCTTTCACCCTCCCCCTCCTCCCAATCATTCTTTATGACCACTGAGCACACTGCTCTCTGCTGTTCATCAGTCTCTCACATGAACACAGCAACAAAAGTACCATGGGTCAATGGATATATATAATGCATATATTTGATATTTGGAGAGTATAAATGTATCTAAATAATGCTTTGTGAAAAGGTTAAGAGAACTAACCATTTTGTTTTATTTTTCTTGTCTCCTCCCTCCCACCATGGCCTTGTTTGCTGCTTGATGCCGTCCTCAGCACAGCCAAATACAACGTCCTCACCTTCCTCCCCCGATTCCTCTACTCGCAGTTCAGAAGGGCCGCCAATGCCTTCTTCCTCTTCATTGCACTGTTGCAGGTAAGATTAGGTGTTGCTGTGAATCTGTGCCATGGATTTCAATACAAAGATAATACCCTATTAATAGGGCTGCTCAATCAAAAAATGTCACAATTATTCTGGTCAGTATTGTGATCAAGATCATTCAAAACAGTTGCTTATTGACTTTGGAAACAACATGCATTTATTGAAATGTTTTAGATTTTTTTTAACTAATACAAATAAAAAAACTAAAGTAATTTCACAGAAAAAAAGGTAAAAAAAGTTAATACAAATAAAATATTAATTGATAATATACTAATACATGTACTTCATACAGACATTGAAATAAATAATATTAAAAAAATGTTCAAATAAATTAGATTAAAAAAAAAAATAATAATAATTTGGATATTCATCCAGCCCTTATACATTTGTAATCACTGTACTTCGATGCACGCACGCACGCACGCACGCACGCACACACACACACACACTATATACGCTTAAAGCTCTGTAAAGCCTTATTATTCCATTCTTTCACTTTGAGGGGTGCCTTTCACATTGTTTTTAATAACAAACCTATTTACTTTTTTCTTTTTGAGACATGTTAGTACATGATAGAAAGACGTACACACACAAACTTTTATGTTACTACCTGAAGGACAGTCACCTAATGATTTTGCAGATCTCATCATGCCACGTCGTACCCCTAAATCATCTCAACTTGCATACTTAAGATGTTGTAGGCAGAAATCGTACGTAAATTAAAGGGGTTAGAAAGAATGGGCAGTAAAGGATGGTACGTAGATGACACCCGACAATTTCGTTCC